AATTTAGTAAAATTTGATCATTTTCCGCATAATTTTAGATTATTTTCCTTTATCATTCTTTGTTAAAATTAACAGAATCGCATAATTTCACATTTTTGTGCTCAGTACGCATAATTTCAGAATTTTTCTTGCATAAAACAACGGGGGCAGAAAGGGGAGGGAGAAATAGAGAGGAAGTGAAGGAGGGAGCAAGATAGAGAGAAAGAGAGAGAAAGAGGAAGAACAGAAAGAGGCAGGGAAGGATGAACAGAGAGTGAGGGAGGGAGAAGGAGAGAGAGAAAGAGAGGAGGGGGGGGGGATTTAGATAGAAGTAGCCTTTTGGCAAAAAAACTAATAAAAAAACTAACTTAAGAAGCTTAATTCAACAATACGCAAAAAATACTGGAATGTCTATTTACAAAATGACGCTTCAAAATGTCAACATTCATCCAAATGGAAAAACGGCTTAGGAATTCAGACACACAGATGTGAGATATGGGCCATTCCAGGACCATGAAAGACTAAGGCATAGTTTATCCAAACGTGAAAAATACATCTTTATCAACCACTACGATATGGAGATTTATTTAACAAAGACAGGAATAACAGTCAATATATAGAATATAATATTTCTAATGATATAGAACATAACATTTGCAATGGTACAAACATAATACATAAAACAAATTCAACCAACAGTCTCCTGTCAATGCTTGCAGTGATACAGAATTCTGTGTTAGTTCAAGCTCAACCCTTCAAGCCCGTAATACGGGTTTTCCAGTAGCGTGCTTTTGCAACAATAATCTGTAGCACCGGTTTAACGGTACGAGGAAAGAGTGCTAAATTATCGGGCAGGAAAAAAAAAGAGCAACCCCGGCTGAGTGAAAGAAAACTTCCCATCAGACTGGACTGAGATCTACAAATAGAAAAAGCTTAGCTTTCCTACACAGAATCATCGAACTCAAAATCTTGTACGTGCTACGGCAAAGAACTTCACAGTTCCACCACACATAGACATCGGTCTCTGACCACCTTGAGCAAGATCCTCAAAAAACAAAAATCATGAAATACTTTTACTAACTAAACTTCTTGCCCGAACAATCTCTCTGACTGAAGTATCGAAAGAAATTTTTTTTAAAAGAACAGCAACAAAACCAAACCACCCACCCGCCACCAAAAAATCCCCCAAAACAAACAAACTTCCAGAAAAACTTGAAGAGGAAACTATTGCATTAAAAGGCAAACAAATATTGAAGAGAAAAACAAAAACAGAAAACAAATCGCATGAATAAACGAAACAAGTTTTGCACATTCAGAGTTTGCCGGGAAATTCAAAATTTACCTGGCACTAAAAAACAAAAAGCAGTAAAGAATGCAGAAGAACTTAACAAGCCAGCATTTATATCAAAATAAAAATATTTTGACAAAATCAAAGGGTAAAAAAAAAAAAAATTGCCACAAATACTGCATCAACACACAGCAGGTAGCCAGCAAACAAAAAGAACTTCATGGAATTCGAAAAGGCACCTCAATCAACTTTTGATTTGAATGACAAGATGAGGAATATATGGTAAGTACTCACTCCTTGCACTTTTGACTATTTTAAGTAGATGAGAACTATGCCCTGCGGGAAGCACAGGTTTATAACATAGCAAGGATAGATACACATACACACATTTTAATTAAAAACATAAAAATATACATTTTCCACAGTTCTTACCAGCAGAAAGAACAATATACATGAGCTGGTAATAGTCAGAGAAATAAGATGAAGATCACAAAAATCTTGAAATCTTGTTGGAAAATAAAATTAAGTTAAAAAGACAAAAAGAAACAAGGAAAAAAAGAATGGTCTGCCACATTTCTCCTCAAACAAATTACACTGGAAAAGTGCAATTCAGAGAGTGAGCAGAATGAGATACTCCGAGGCACAGCGCAACCGAGGGGCGTATAGGCAAGCAAAGGGGCAGAAATGTACATGTAGTAGGAAGGAAGGAAAGAGGTTGTACACGATATACAACAAAATTGCAGACTTCTTCCTGAGAGTAAGAATCAACATGTTGGTACTGGGATCACTGTGCGTTTAAACAGCTAAACTAAAGATTCACTCTCAAAATACACTCATCCCTAACCAAAATGACAATTCTTTGCCGAGAAGAATAAAGGCCATAGTTGACAGGTGATCCTGTTGGATGATATCATTCCAACATAGAAAAAAAAAAAATCAAGTTTGTAGTGGGAAGGGGTCGCTTGAAAAGGTGATTGCCTTACACAGGTGATCGTTAGGTCGGCAGGTTTATTCAGAAGCAAAAATCATCATCAAAAACGGGGCTACAAGCAAAGTGGAAGGAACAACACCCTCGTATCTTCCAGGCTGGACTCTACCACCTCCATACACGACAAGAGCACATTGTTTGTGCACTTACCTTAACACTTCGCCATCACATCTCGTTGATCGGCGATGTTTACCACCCAGTTTCTTTGGATTTTCTCCAAAATGCCTTTGTCTTTGATGGCAACAGTTTTACTATATGAGCCTTGTGATGGCAAAATGTTAAGATTCAGAAGAGGTCATAACTGACAGAAACACAATTCCCTCACTGCGTTCAGGATCGGGCGACTAAGAGCAGTGTCAATGCAGAACTGGTAGCCAAACAACACACCATTTACTACAACTACAAGTAGTACAAGCCTTCCAAATGCGTGAGACACTTAAAAGGAAGCATTGGCCCAACTAAAAGCAGATAAAGAAAAACTTTACAGGGGCCTGAAGGACCAGCGGTGAACAGCAGCCTTCACAATAGAAACTGGGATGTCCATTCTAAGGTGAATGACAAGAACAAGAAGAACAGGTTCCACTCTTTTCGCTTTTTTGCCAGATGCACAGCAAGCCAGGCAGATAAATCAAACTAGTGATGCTGCTTTGGCACAATCTCTTGCCATAGCTGCCAACTTTTCAAAATTAATTTAAAAAACAGACTCGACCAATGTAGCAAGTCAAAATGGTAGGCATTGGCCGATTAACTCGCATCCAAACCCTTCACACACACACACACACTTTTCTGCATTTAACTGATTCAAGATATTGAAAGAATTCCTACAGCAAAAGATATCTCCAATTGACTTATCGGCTTCTTTATCTCTATTATTTGCAATCTGGTCTTGAAAATTATTATTATTATTTTGCTTTTTAGGATCAGCAAGTCTGTGGGGAGCAATACTAAAAAAAACCCAGAGAATATACATTTTCCAGTAAAAAAATTGGCTTTCGTACTCAGACACTTCAAAACGTATTAAATATGTTTTGTTTTTAGTTTTAGTAGACGTTTTACGGCCCTCACAACTGCATAAGGTCATGTGAGCTTTTACGCACATGTTGGCAGCCATGCTTATCATGTATGCCTGTTATGGCCAAGCCCTGACTGAGTGGGGTAGGACATCCGAGCAGACTGAGGGAGAGATGCTCCATAAAGTAAAAACACTTTCTCCACTCTAGAACCAAACTCACTTCTTCTGCGTGCAGTGGGTCAAGAGCTTAACCACTCCACCACCAACACTGTTGTGTCAGCATTTTACAATGAATATTGTGCTGCAGAGAAAACACACCTTATGGAGACAATTAGCAGGAAGACCCTGAGGTGGACGCTGGAAAGGAGAGATGAGCAGCTATGGACATGTGCCGCCTGCTATGAATCTAGCTCTGGATCCAAGTAAATCCAAGAGAAAACACCACCAGGGACAACTATCATAAACTTAACCATTGAATCAACAACATGGCTGTCCGACACAAATGTCAGGTAGGAACTGGATTTAACTAGTTTCAATACTGGTAAGTAAAATTAAATAAGCAATTCTTTAAACAGATTACAAATGCCAACAAAAAGAAAACTTTGAACGTACATCATGTCATGAGCAAAATCGGCAATTAAAAATTTGAACATTGATTGCATCCACAAGTTTGATTAAGGTGAATTAATCAAATGTACATATAAAAAAAAAAAAAGAAAAAAAAGAAAAAGAGGGTGGAGGGGGGAGTTGACAACAAATTTGTGATCACGCAGTATGAGCGCAATTCGCAAACAGTTGAATAAATAGTGTGAAAGTATAATATCAAATACAAAGCGATACTTTTGCTGACAAACGGAAACAAGAGAAATACATGACACATGTAACAAAACAAACAACAATGCCATGGAAAGAAAAACCAATTCTAATGTAGGCAAAATGTCCAATTACATAAACTGTCAAGACAAGGCAAAGAGTTGAGAATGAGAGGAGTTCCAAGAAACAAAAAACAACAACCCAAAAGTAAATGAGCACTAATAAAAACTTGAAACAAAAAATTGAAATTTTATGAACATTCAATAATATATTGTGTCCTCCAATATAAATAAGTAAAAGGAATATTTATGTCTACAGGGTCCACTTTATTCTTGGAATAACATTCATCTTCATGCATTTCTTCCTTCATAGAAAAAAAAAAAGCAAGAGAACATAAAGAGGCACCACAGCCATTATTATGAGGTCATATATCAAACACTGGCAAAAAGAAGCTGCAATAATCTTGATCAGAAAACTGTCGTCCCCACACAGTATTTTGATAGCCCTGTAAATACCATCAAAAGTATAATTATGGGAGGCATCGCGGTGAAATCAGGTGCTCGTCAAAATAATGAAAAGAAAAAAAAAAGGCATTGTCCCACCAGTTGGGTAAATTTCCTCGAAATTTTGTTTTTTGGCTAGACACCTTTTATACTCATATGGAAACACATTTCAATGTGAACTACTGAAGAACTTGTTTAAAGGCACAAAATATGTAATTTTCAGTTTTCAAGTACTCTTAAGCTATTGAAGTCACCAAACTTTGGCGGACATTATCTCATTAATTTAGCTACTGAAACCAGGCTACCCCACCTTCTTCAATCGCAAATATTTCGACATCTATTCAAGCTAGATGGATATTTTTTTTCATTGAAAGCAAGGCAAATGAATAATCTTTCAGATGATATCAATAACTCCAGATGTCTAAAAATTGACACGCCCCTGATTCCACCACGTATCTATTCTGTCAGCAGAGACAATAAATACCCTCTCTAAGCCACCTCTGTCCCAGTTAGAGAATTGCAAAACACATCGACGCAATTACAGTCATCTAATACAGTGAAAGAATTATGTAGGCAGACAGAAACAACGGTGGGGGAAAAAAAAGAACTTAAACCTACTATTGGCATCCTGCAAGCACCACCCCATAGCTACCTTTTCAGTTTTATTCAAATTTTCATGGCACTTGAAACACAAGTAGGCCCTATACACACCAGAGATTACAGGTATTAGTAGAGAGTAACATAATATAAAGAAAAGAGGCAAACCAACCAAACCACCAAACTAGCTGCTCAGTCACAAAAAAACTTCTGTAAGGCATGAGCTGATAAGTTTCGTCAAGTTGAAAGGTACAAAAATAATATAATATATAGGCCCTATTTTTTAAGATCTTTGATTAGTACAAATTGTCGAAAAAAGGAGCCAGTTTCCCACTGCCACAGGCTAGAAGTAAGTATGTATTCTCTAAAGTTCAGTCAACAACAAAGCTACCGTACTGAATGAAAACGTGTCTGCAAAACTGGGTGGGACAGAAGATAGCACAAGACAGGGGAGAGAAGGAACAGGACACAGTGACAAAAAAGACACGCATCTGACAGAAAACACACAAAACATCTCTGCCCACCTCCTCCCGTCTCCCCATACATAGCCACATGTCACAGTCAAGAACAATAGAGGACTCCTTACTTCCCAAAAGACACCCCTAACTCATTCTCTTTCCAAACGAATACTCTTTTCTGCTCAGAATTTCCCAAGCTATGACCTTAAAACAACACTGTTCTGAAGCCACTCATCTTTTTTCGTAGCAGTGCAGTTTTGTCATGACCACTCACTCCTCTATTCCCACAACGGAAAATTTCACTAAACACTTCATTCAAGTGCATGCAAGCCTATGGAAGAATCAAACAGATGTCACCAAAATCACAGCTTTCTTATCTCATTTCAGTATGTCAACTCTTTTTTGATTTTCAGTCTTTCTCGCCCAGTCTTGTCCTGTCTGCTCTTGTAATCTCCACAGGTAATAAACACGCTTGTCCACTCCCCTAACCTCTCATATCCCCCCCTCTACCACCCCAAATTCCCTTTTTTCTCTCTTTACTCTTGTAAAATCTCAACTGAAAATAAACCCCCATCTGTCTCTCTTCCCTCGCTCCCAATCTCACCCAATAAACCCGCAAAAAACCATCAACACTTCCGCCCGAAGGAGTCGCCGCAGAAGTCAAAGGGCAGGGTCAGGAAGCGGGTGAAGAGTTCCTCCCCGAAGCACGAGTAGGACATCACCATGAGCAAGAAGGTCAAGGCCGTGCCGATCTGTATGACCAGCAGCAGGTTGAGCTGACGCTGCATGTGTTGGTTCTGACGCTCCAGGCGGTCCACCTGAGGAAGGTTTTTTGGCAAAAAAAAGTTTTAGTAAGTTTAAATTTAAAAAAAATTTTTCAAAGTAGTCCAGGACTACTTTGAAAAGTTTTAACAAGTTTAAATGTTAAAATTTTTTTAAATGAACTTTTAAAAAGTTAAAAAAATCAATTGAAGTGTTTTTATACCCCCCCATCAATACAGTTTAGATTATTTGGGAGGTGAGTTTCAATCCATCCTATGAGGACCAACCTGCAGAAAGACAGAGATATTTGATAAAATTTTCCCCACTCAGGAATAGACCTTAAGTCTCCTCTGAGTGATGGCGATGTACTTAGCCGCTACATCACAGACAGGAAGAGTTTTATGGCACTTGCAACACAATACGGTCAAAATAAGCGCTAAAGATTAGAGGTGTTACAAGGGAGTAACAAGCACAAAAAGAAAGAGGGGAGATAAAGACGATAGATGTTTGATAGGAAAGAAGTAGCAAACCACACCAGGGCACCCGCCAACCACCCACAATTATTTTTATTTTTTTAAATGTAGGTGTTAAATAGGAAAGAAGGAGCAAATCACACCCATCAACCACTCACATGCTATAGTCTGACAGTAGTTTACATAAAACGCATCTGCTGCTGAGAATAAATAAATTTTGTAAATAGAAAACGCAGAACTTATTTTAACTGAAAGGAAATACAATAGGTCAAACTTATTGGAGGGTGGGTAGTGCATCTGAGAAATACATGTTTGCCTTTTTAAAAATCTCTGACAAAGGACAATATAGTGTAGAAATTAGCATATGTGACAGCGACCACTGGAGGATGTAAAACTGTGAACAAAAACAAAACCACATGAAATCACACAATATTGGTGACAACAAGAAAAACAAATCCATTCAGAACTACAAACTCTGAACAAACATTGGTCTGCCCTATAATAAGGTGCAAGCCATCCAGAATTTAAAAAACCTGAGAATAACAATTCAATCACGTAACTTTCTAAAACATCAACCCAGTCACATAACGGTCTGAAGCAATCAAGTCAGTAATCATATTACTGATAAAAACAATCAATTCAATAATCCTGTGACTGTACACAAAATTGACTCAATATCAATGTAAAAGTTGTTCCCGCATCCCATTCGGACATTGGGGATTGCCTTGTTAGTGAGACAACTTCCTGGGCCTTCGGCATATTGTGATAGGGTGAATATCCATGTAACTGTACAAAACAATTACCTCGATCATTCAAAAGCCACGTGACGGTCAAAAATAATCAAACAACTATAAACCCCCCCCCCAACCCCCCCAAAAAAACAACAAACAATTCAGTAATCACATAACTGTCCAAAACAATCAACTCAATAATGTGACGGCCCAAAAATAATTTTGTCCTTGTAATTGTCCAAAAGAATCAACTCAATAACCACAAGACTGCCCAAAACAATCAACTCACACATGAAGCTGTCTGAAACAATCAACTCAATAATCCAAATCATGTGACTGCCCACAACAATCATGAGGCTGGCCGAAACAATCAACTCAATAATCTGAATCATGTGACTGCTCAAAACAATAAACTCAATCACGTAACTGAAAAGCAACTCAGTTACCATAATGCCAACTAGAACAATCAGCTCAATCATATAGTTGTGTGAAACAATCAACTCAACCATTATCATGTGACTGCCCAAAACAATCATGTAAGTCATGTGACACTCCGAAACAACTATATCATGTGACAACTAGCCAAAATAATCAACTCAATCATGTGACAACTAGCAAAAACAATCAACTCAACCATGTGACACCCCAAATCAATCAACTCAATCATACGATTGCCCAAAACAATCATGTCAATCATGCTACCTGCGCGTCCATCTCCTCGTCAGTGGGAAAAGGCGGTTTGGAAGCGGCAGCACCAGCAGTGGCAGCATAGGGAGCAGGGCCATGGGGCTTACGGTTCTAGACAGACAGCACCACACACAGTCACAGAAGAAAAAACCACCAACATACATCAACAGCACCAATCTTTGCCAGCGGGGCTTAGTTTGTAGTATTAGTAGAGGTTTTTCGGCGCTCGCAACTGCATAAGGTCATGTGAGCGCCAAGGGGTGGATGTCAGCAGAGAAGTCCTTACAGGGAATCAGACTTACTCTACTCACCTCTCTAGCTTCAACAGCACAAGGTCTGCTTCGACTATCAAGGCACCCCGGAAATAGCGGGTCACAAGAGGGTGACAAACATACAAAAGAAGTAGAGGAAAATGACGATAGTAAGGATTAGGAAAGAAAAAGCAGCAGTTCCCTGTTGTAGATCAGGCACAGTTATGAGCGTGGCATTGATGAATCAAATCAGTCCATTTACAATTCTACACTGCATGAACAAGAAATGTGCCCCCTTTGGGAATGGCCTAAAGACACTTTAGTCAGGGGCACAGCCCCGGGGGGAAGAGGGACTTATGGTGCTCGACAGACAGCCCCACACAGTCACAGAAAAGAGAACACCACAATAGACTAATAGATCAACAATACCAATCTTGTCAAGCAGTCTTTGACTGAAGGCTTATGATGCTAGATAGCCCCACACAGTCAGAGAAAAAAAAACAACACCATAGAGATCAAGAGTACCTATCTTGTCAAGCAGTCTTTGACTGAAGGCTTATGATGCTAGATAGCCCCACACAGTCAGAGAAAAAAAACAACACCATAGAGATCAAGAGTACCTATCTTGTCAAGCAGTCTTAGTGTCTTTTTTTTTTTTTTTTTGCTTGTTTGAGTAGACACACATTGAAAAAACACCACCATAGATTAACAGCACCAATCTTTGACAGCAGGGCTTATGGTGCTAGACAGTACTATACAGGCAGAGAAAAAAACAACACCATAGATCAAGAGTACCTATCTTGTCGAGCAGTCTTCGTCTTTTGTTTGTTTGTCTATTTGCTTCTTTGTCGGTTTGTCCGTTTAAGTAAAGAGATGCACATTGAAAAAAACCCCACCATAATAAATCAAGAGCACTTATCTTGTCACACAGTCTTTGTCTTTTGTTTATTTGTTTGAGTAAAGAGATGCACAACAACACTGTAAAGGTCATTTAGCACAGGGGAAAAGTAAGACTGAGAGACTGAAACACACAGTCTTTGTCTTTTGTTTATTTGTTTGAGTAAAGAGATGCACAACAACACAGTGAAGGTCATTTAGCACTGGGGAAAAGTAAGACAGAGAGACTGAAACAACAGAGGGAGAGTAAACAAGTAGGACCTACTACCAGTGGCGACGTCCAACACCCGCAGTTTTAGTCCAAACTTTCTCTATTATGCAAGAAGTAGATTAATATTTTTCTCCCTCAATCTCTTTCTCTCCCTCCCCCCCCTCTCTCTCTCTCTGTCTGTCTGTATCCAAATGCAGAGAAAAATCTACAGTACATTGAATATAATTACAACAACATTGATGCATTTAAACTGTTAACTTTGATTTTGTTTCGCATCCTCAGTATATCAAAGTTTTATTCAAATGATAAAGATGACTTAGGTCAGCATTTTAGAATTCTTAAAAAATTTTTTTTGTTAAAACAGTTTAGTATCAGTAAACGATTAACTATACTTTCAGCCCTATTAGGTCATACAAGTGCCAAAGAATAGAGGTGTTACTGGAGAGTAACAACAAGCACAACAATAAGGAGGAGAGACAGATGAGGATGTCTGATAAGAAAGATGGACCAATCAACACCTGAGCACCAACCAGCCAACCACCCACCCACATTTCTCTAAGTAACAACAACAACAAAAATTAATTTTAAAAAATTAGCTAAAAAAACAAAAAACAGAAGAAAGTAGGAACAAAAAAAAGAAAAAGCAAGAAAGAAAAAAAAGAAAGAAAGAAAGAAAGAAAGAATGAAAGAAAAAAAGAATGAAAGAAAGAAAAATTGAAAGCAAAAAAGAAAGAAAGAAAGAAAGAAAGAAAAGACTCCGGCAATAGCGCACGGCTGTTAAAATATCACTGAAAGTGGTACTTTACTTGGTGGCCGAGCCCCAGTCTGACCTCCCCGGGTGAAGGTAATAAATCAGTGTCAGTCGGCCACTCCCGTGCTTAACAACCGTGACAATAGTGATGCCCGCCGCTGTGCCTGCGTAACTCGGTTCTGGTAATTTTCGTATCACTTTCCCTCGTTATTTCTCCCGATCTGATAAACCTAGAAGCCTGTTTATCATCTTATTTTAAAGATCATCTTAAGACTAACAAGACGATCCCACTTTCGCTCCGGAAATCTCATTGGTGTTATAGCAGTTACGCATTTTGCAGTACAAGTGTTTTGTTCATCTAATGTTGCATTTTAAATTATATTCCATTTTGGAGTTTATTATCTCAAAAGCCAAACTAAGATTTTTCACTCAAATTGCTCTGCTTCACTTGAGACAGCAATACTTGAACCGTGTGAGCAAATGTTATTTGTGGGAAGCGAATGTGTGATTTTATATGATTTTTTAAAAAAGGGTACCCCCTCCCCTGTGATTCACTCGCATGTGATCTTTCATTTTTCTTCTTAAATATCGCGTTATTTTTCCAACACTTCTCATCGCTTTTTTTGGAATATTTTAGCCCAGTTAAGAAATGGAGAAACATACAGAGGATTCGCTTTTTCAAAAGCTACACAAACGCTTCAGAACTTGTGGTGGCTGAACACTGTCAGTCAAGCAGAAGGCACAGAAAAGGCGACCCCTGCAGTGTTCTAAATTTGCGTCGGACACTCTCTTTGCCTTAGGTGTTAGCATTACAATGGACTCACAGACAGTACATTCAAAAACCATCTGTAAAGCTTGCATGGACAAGATAAGACATATGGAGTTGTGGGGAGGAACTAAAGGGGGAGGTTAGACATTAAGAAGGTTGCGTGGTACTTTCTCACTCTGAAGAGGAGAAAATTAACTTTAAAAAACAATAGACGGAGAAAGAAGACAGGTTGTCGGAGTTCGAGCACGAACCCCCTAACCCTAGGACTGGCCATATCTGTTCCCATTTAGACAGCATACTTGACTCGCACAACATCACACCGCAGGCATATCACGGCCGCTCTTTCATTGGCAATCACTGCCACAAATACATCATGAGTCGCGTTTATAAAGACCTCACGGCATTCATTGTACAACAAACAGTAGAAAACACCCACAACCAAAATATAATTGACACCGCTTACACTCTCAGAGAAAAATTCAATAAATTAAACGACGCGTTTCGGGACGTTCACATTCACATCTCACACGGCCAACCAGTGTCAAAAGACGGACTAACACACTTTGACAACATGCATCAAAACTTACATGTCATTCTACAGGAGACACTTTAGTGAAAAGGTACTTCCCAAACACCACATTCTCGAAAACCACGCATCCCGTGGATACAAGCATATGGGTTTGGTTTGGCTTTACATGGGAAACAGGGTGGTGTACTTATCCATGCTTCTGTGGCAAAGCTAGAGAGAAGAGGAGCTGGGATACGTAATATCGAACAACAGCTGAAAGTTGTCATGCAATCTTACCCCGTCATGTCAAATCCAAAACTATTATCCAACGTGCCTCCGACAAAGAAAAAAAGGTGATACTGCAATCAACTCTTCACTACTCCAAAACCATGGACTTCCCTCAAAAACAGCAAAGTGAGTTTTGATATTTGACCATTTCTGGTGTATTTTATGTGAAATTGCAGGGTTGATTAAGTTTTGTTTGATTGGAATTTAGATTTAAAAATATTCACGCCAAAGGGCAATGGTAAAATATGAGCCATTTTTGGAGCGCTATATATATTTATCGTTATTTCATACAATTTTGCATCTTTCTCAGTAAGTACAGAAGTTCCCCCTTGTTCCAAACAGGCAAAATAAAATGACGATAAAGTCACCATTGGCGTATTTTGCGAGTTTAATTGTCCTAAAAATGAAATGAACAATGCTGTTAGCGGGACACGGGGAATTCCCCTGGCCACGAGTTCATGACCCGGTGATGGGGGTCAGATTACAAGGTGCGGCGCGCTGGCTGCCTGCGAACTAAAGTACCGCTTTCTAACAGCCGTGAGCGTTACGACAATGAGAACACGCAGTTTTTAATCTCCTACGTACGACGTGGGCCCATGTTGTTGGGGAAAACAAACGCTCTTATTATTATGCTATTATTATTCAGTATGTACAAGAGGGGACTCACTTTCTCCTCCACACTCTCTGGTACTGGCGGGCTCTGCGCTACATTGCCTCCTCCTCCTCCTCCTCCCGCCGCCGTGTCTCTGACGGGGAGTCGCGTCATCGCCTCTTTCTTGGATGTTGAACATTTCAGTCTGTGATTACGGAGGGGGAGATGTTTTAGTTTTAGTAGACGTTTTACGGCGCTCGCCACTGCATAAGGTTATACGAGCGCCAGAAGAGTAGAGGAGTTACCAGAGAGTAACAAATATAAAAAAAGAAGAAGGGGAAATAAGGACGATAGATGTTTGAAAGGAAAGAAGAAGCAAACCACACCAGAGCACCCGCCAACCACCCACGGGAAATAAGTTCATGCCAGTGAGAAGTGCATATTATAATAATAATAATAATAATAATCATCATCATCATCATCATAATAACAATAATCATGATAATAATAATAATAAAAATAATAATAATAATCATGATGATAATAATAATAATGATAATAATAATAATTAAATGACATTTATTATATGAGAGTTTTTCTCTGTCCTCAAACATACAACACGATTCGTTCTTTATTTCTGGCCTAAAAGAGTCAACGAGCATTCTGCTTCTCTTTCTAACAATAAGCACCCTTATCGTGTCTTTCCCATTCATGTTTCCGTCCGTCTTCAGTGTTGATATGTTTCTCTTTCCTCCACTAAACAATCTCATCTTTCCTTTTCCTTTTACGTGGGTGGTTGGCAGGTGCTCTGGTGTGGTCTGATTCTTCTTTCCTATCAAACATCTATCGTCCTTATCTCCCCTTCCTCTTTTTTATGTTTGTTACTCTCTTGTAACACCTCTAATCTTCTGGCGCTCATATGACCTTATGTGCAGTTAGTTGCGAGCGCCGTAAATCCTCTACTAAAACAATTTCCCTTTACCTTTAAATGCCAACTAGTTCATATTTGAACCCCAAATTTTTTATATAAATGTAATCATTTTTTAAAAGTTTGGTTGCAGCTGGAGGTCCAAAAATATAAAATTGATAAATTGACCTCAGAAGGTTTCCTTTATATAGCCTTTCTAACATCAGTGTAGAGTTAAAATATTTTCAAGCATATACTTTTTGTTGTGGGCTCCAAAGATTTAATGTCCCTGTCTGCCTACTGTGAAGAGAGTCTCACTTCTCTCCAACAAATCATCACATCTCACCAGGAGGCCCCGGCTAGTGACTTACTTGTGCTCCATGATGGCGTCTTTCCCCACGTCCTTCCACAGTTTGGTGACGTCGCTGAGGTCTTTGCCTGTGGCCTCCGTGGCCATGATCAGAAACTTGTCTTTTGATACATTCTCTTTGCTGTCTGAATATGCAAATAGACACACGATATAAAAATTCAAGAACGTAAAAAAAAGAAAAGCCTTCAACAAAATAGAACAAACAATGATATTCTGCCTCCGAACACAGCACATACCTCTCCACTACCACCAGGACAGGTTAGTTCTTGTAAGAGTTTTACTGCACTTGCAACACAATAAGGTCATGTAAGTGCCGAAGATAAGAGGTGTTACAAGCGAGCAACAAACACAAAATAGAAGGAGGGGAGAAAAGGACGACAGATGTTCGATAGGAAAGAAGGAGCAAACCATACCAGAGCACCCGCCAACCACCCACCTACCACCTGGACAGAATCAATGCCAGACAAACAAAACACAAACATGTGCTTGCTTTGTGACCACATCTATGAAATAGTCTGACATCTGCTCTCTCAACGTCCCAAACTGCAGGACCTCAGAGGGCAACTTCTTCCTCCCACCCCAACCACATACAATACCCTCGATACTGCCACATACAATACCCTCTATACTGCCACATACAATACCCTCTATACTGCCACATACAATACCCTCTATACTGCCACATACAATACCCTCTATACTGCCACATACATTTACCCTCTATACTGCCACATACAATACCCTCTATACTGCCACATACAATACCCTCTGTACTGCCACATACAATACCCTCTATACTGCCACATACAATACCCTCTATACTGCCACATACAATACCCTCGATACTGCCACATACAATACCCTCGATACTGCCACATACAATACCCTCTATACTGCCAAATACAATACCCTCTATACTGCCACATACAATACCCTCTATACTGCAATTAAGAACAAATATGCCACACAAGGTGGTGGAATCAGGCGCTCTTCAATTTTTAGGCCTATGGGTTCATTGGTATCATCTTAAAGCCTGTCCATTTGCCTTGCTTTTGGAGAAAAAAAATATCCATCTATGTTGAATAAAAGTGGAAATATTTGCGATTGAAGAAGGTCAGGGTCGCCTGGTTTCAGAGGGAAAATTAGCCAGAAAATAGCCGCCAAAGTTGGGGAACTTCCATTGCCTGAAAGTCCTTGGAAACTGAAAATTTTCATTTTTTATGCCTTTTAAGCAATGTTTTTCCAGTAAAATCAACACAAAAATGTACTTTTAAATGGACATTACAGGTGATGAGCAAAAAAACAAAAACAAAAAAAGAAAAAAAAAAGAAAAGGAAATTAGATTTCTTTGATTTCATTATTTTGACGAGGGCCTGATTTCCCCATGAGGCCTCACAAATGTCAAAGACCTTCACCTTTTTTAACATGGCACTAGGTCGAAGGGCACATGCTGAAAGGCTACTGGATGAACAACAATAAAAATTTAAGAAGAACAGTCCTTTTTCTCTGCTATCTGGACACACAGTTTTAGAACCAAAAATATTGTCCCTTTTCTTAGTCATTCGGACACACAAATAGAAAGAAAAATCTTTTGTAACATTATGGGGGGAGGGGGGGGGTTGTATTTGAATGCATGAACCCACACACAAACAGAACATAAATCAGAATCTTTAACACATTCTTCATTGTCTGTATGTATATGTATATTATAAGGTTTTACGGCGCTCGCAACTGCTAAGGTCATATGAGCGCGCGAAACACAAGTTGTTCACCTCTGCGAAAGTTCACTTCACGACTGGCTAACTAATTTAATTTAAAATGCTAAAAATTAGTTAGCCAGTCGTGAAGTAACTAATTTTTAGCATTTTAAAGTAAATTAGTTAGCCAGTCATTGTCTGATCAGATAAATAGGAACTACACACAAACAGGAACATAATTCAAAATCTTTAATCATATTATTCTTTCAAACAGAAACGTCTGATTGAGTCAGTAAGAATGATCAAATCCTGTTAAACGGTTACATTTCGTTGGTACTACAAGAATTATCAAATTATGTCTATCAGAAACATCTTGTTGATTAAATTTATACACGAGTCCGTAAAGTAAAGTCAGTCCCATGGCTATAGCCTTCTCCCAGTTAAAAAAGAACTTGCTATTCTGTCCACCAGGGATGCCATTCAACTTTTTTGAAAATAGATGAAAATCCACGCGCCGCGGTCTCGCTAACACATGAATATCAATCTGAAACCCAAAGGGTGTACATAGAGAGAAATGACAAACAAACAAAAACAAAGGGTGTACATAGAAAGAAATGACAAACATTTACAGAAAAATAGATTAGATGTACTTAACATGACAGAATCTTACCTCACACTTTTTTTTTCCAACTATAGATTCTATCTCGATCTCAATAACGGAATAGCGGATCAGGATCAAAATCCCGGAAATACCAGAAAAAAGTGGAAAAGTGGCATCACCTGGTCCACCAAAGACAGCTCTATGTGGGAACTTACCATTCACCAGGTAAACAAAAATCTCCTCAGACTTCTTAGGCTTCACAAGACCAGAACTTGGACGAACTCTGTATTTTTCGGGTGAAGTCGTTTTCACCTGCAAAAAAATAAAAGATTTTTTTTTTAAAATGAAAAACCTTCAATAAACAAGAAACAACAGGAGGAAGAAGTCTTCCGACAACATTGAAAACAACCAACAAATAGACACCAATTGTGTGGGAAGAACAGTACATTCTCACAGCTGCCAACCTTTCAAAAACATAAAAGCTGACTCTAAATTATAATAATAATAATAGTAATAAATAAATAGCATTTGTATAGCGCATATCCCCACTCGAAAGCAAGCTCAATGCGTTTTACACTATATTATTACCCCAGCAGACCACAGAATACTCAGAAACATTCTCAGCTTCCCGGGAAGCATACAGTGCAAGCAGCTGGTAAAGCACTCAAACACTAACAAACTGACAAGATCTTTCACTGTCTATAGCTGGGTACCCATTTTCACTTGGGTGAAGTGGGGAAAATTCTTTCAAAGCGCCTTTCCCAAGGACACAACATCAGGCCTGCGGCCCGAACCCCCGAACCCGCAAGCTCACAATTACGAGTCCGGTAGCCTAACCACTAGACTACCAACGGCACGAAAACTCTACCCACAAGGCAGGTCATGATGGTGGGCTTGACCAAGTCACCACCCTCAAAAACCCTTCATACACACTTTTCTACCTTCAACAATTTCAAGCTATTCAAAACAGACCTGCAGTAATAGAGTTCTCCACTTGACTAATGGGATTTGCTTCATTACTGTTAACAAATCCTGTCTTGAAAGTTCATAATTTGTGTCACGACACAGTGGAATCAGGCGCTCATCAACTTTTGGGCACATAGAGTTACACTGTAATGCCTGTTCATTTGTCTTGCATTTGGCAAAAAAACAACAACCCATCTATCTTGAATAGAAGTCGAGATATTGGTGATTGAAGTAGGTGGGGGTTGCCTAGTGAGAGAGATAAAATTAGTGAACAAATGGCCACCAAAGTTTGGTGACTTCCAAGCTTTAGAGTTCTTAGAAACTGGAAATTTACATTTTTTTGGTGCCTTTAATCAACTTTTTTTTTCCCGGTATCATACGGGTAGTAATGTTTTTTTTCAAGGACATTAAAGGTGTTGAGCCAAGAAAGATAATTAGGGAAAAAAGCCTAATGCCCAGAAAAATGAAGATTTCTTTGAATTCTAGGGTAGCGAATAGTTCGTTTTTGTTTTAGTAAGTGTTTTACGGCACTTGCAACACAATAAGGTCACGTACGTGCCGAAGATTAGAGGTGTTACACGAGAGTAACATACACAAAAAAGAAGGAGGGGAGATAGGGACGATAGAAGTTTGATAGGAAAAAAGGAGCAAACAACACCAGAGCACCCGCCAACCACCCATGCAAATAGTTAAAAGACAATGGCTCACCTTGAAAGCAACAGGGAAAGGAAGAGTGTTGGCCAATGTGATCACATCAAAGGCGTCGCCCGTCTCAGGAATTTCAAACGTCAGTTCGTCTGCCGGACTGAGGGATAAAAAGAGGAAAATTTGTTTATTATCTTTCTTTAGTATTCAAAATTATTTTATGGCCCTTGGAACATAAATAAGGGATATATAAATTAATGCTGAACATTATTTTCATAAGAGTTCTACGGCACTTGAAACACAATTAGGTCATACAAGTGCTGAAGATTAGAGATGTTACAAGGGAGTATCAAACACAAAAAAGAAGGAGGAGAGATAAGGACGATAGATGTTTGATAGGAAAGAAGGAGCAAACCACACCAGAGTACCCTCCAACCACCCACATGCTTAACATAAGAGGAACTGTTACTAGAGAGTAGCATACAAAGGAAAGAAGGGCGGAGAGTTTTGTTTTAGCAAGAGTTTTACGGCACTTGAAACACAAATAGGTCACATGAATACTAAAGATTAGAAGTGTTACTTGAGAGTAACATACACAGAAAAGACGGGAGGGGAGATAAAGACAATAGAAGAGTGAACAGAATGAACGTAACACAGAAGACAATAATGGTTATTCTAGAGAAAATTGAAAAAATATTAAAATAACACTGTCCTTCTTTTAAATTGTAACTCAGATTTTCTTTTTACACTAATCACTCTCGCATTACGAAACTTTAGGGTATTCTGAACATTCCGTATTGGAAAAAAAACGCCTCTTAGTTCTAGTTTTAGTAGAGGTTTTACGGCACTCGCAACTGCATATGGTCAAATGAGCACCAAGGGGTGGATGTCAACAGAGAAGTCCTTACAGGGAATCAAACTAACTCTGCTCACCTCTCTAGCTTCAACAGCACAAAGTCTACTTCGACTATTAAGGCACCCCGGAAATAGTGGGTCACGAGAGTGTGACAAACATACCAAAAAAATAGAGGAAAAATAACAATAGATTAGTAAAGCAAAAGCAGCAGTTCCCTGTTGTAGATCAGGTACAGTTATGAGCGTGACTTGATGAATCAGCCCATTTACAATTCTACTGTGCATGAACGAGAAATGTCCCCCTCTTTGGGAATGGCCTAAAGACACTTCAGTCAGTGGCACTGCCCCAGGGGGTACTAAAGATTAGAAAGTGTTACTTGAGAGTTACATACACAGAAAAGACGGGAGGGGAGATAAGGACAATAGAAGAGTGAACAGAATGAACATAACACAGAAGACAATAATGGTTGATCTAGAGAAAATTTTTAAAAACCAAAGTCCTTCTTTAAAACTTCAACTCAGATATTTAAAAAAAACTAATCACTCTCGCATTACGAAACTTTTGGGTATTCTAAACATTCTATAAAGAAAACTCCCCCCCCCCCCTGCTAGAGGTAAGCTCGGTAAGATGAGCTGCGGCATTCTAGGCACAAAGTCTGTGAGAGCAACCAACCTGACGGTCAAAAGCCTCCCAACATAAGTGTTAGGACCGTTAGACGAAGAACGACGAACACGGACAGGAGGCTGAAACACAATCAACAATGCAAATAAAACAAAAATTAACAAAGAAAATTTCTGAAATCTGAAGAATAAAAAAATGAAGAAAAAAAACCCCTCAAACACAATCAGCAATATAACTAAAACAAAAATTAATATAGAAAATTTCTGAAATCTGAAGAAAAAAAATGTGGAAAAAGAACCCTGAAACACAATCAGCAATATAAACAAAACCAAAAATTAATGATGAAAATTTCTGAAATCGAAAAAAAAAAATTGTGAAAAAAAATCTGTGGATACAGACAGACTACTGGGGAAAAAAAATCAATATTGTAAATAAAAAGGAAATTAACAATGAAAATTTACGTGAAACCTGAAAAAAATTTGTTAAGAAATCTGAACCATTTCTGACAAAATTCATTCTATGAAAGCGAGAAGACAGAAGAAAAACCTTTTCAAAATGAATAACAAAGAAAATAAAAAGTCCTCAAAACACAAAAACTCTTGAGAAAATAAGGCAAACAGCTTCAGCAACAGTTTGCTATTAACACTTTGCTTCCTGTCAGCACTTCACGCCACCAGCACGTAAATTACAAAGGAAACAGACGAGGAAACAAAGTGTTGATATTTATCGTCAAGTGCTAGGATAAAGAATAGCCCAATTCATTTATCATTGTAGGCGCAAATAGAAAAACTTAGGAAGGTGGTTGGCTGGTGCTCTGGTGTGGTAAGCTTCTTCTTTACTATCAAACATCTATTGCCGTTACCTCTCCTCCTTTTTCACGTTTGTTGCATGCTCTCTCGTAACACCTTTCATCTTTGGCACTCATATAATCTAACTGTATTGCACCTGCCATAAAACTCTTACTAAAACAAATGAAAAACATAATTCGGCTTCTTTTTCCTGAACCAGACCATGAAGACTTCCTTTTAATAAGTTAGAAATCAGGAGCCCAGCATAACTTCTTCTTTAAGCTCCTGATGTGAAAAAGACATTGGCGATCATGGTTTGCCGATCATTTCTCTTCTCAGATGCTCACAGAAAACCTGTACCATTCTGGTAATAACCCAGTCCCTCATGGAAATAAGCAGCAGAAGTAGCAGCATTTAAACCTCATTAGGTTGTTTTTTGTTGGTTTTTTCATCCTCTGTTACCATTAAGCGTTGAGGGGAGATGTAATTTTCTATGGTAGGCCACCACTTTATGACAGTGATTGAGTGATAAAAATCTTACAAGAAAGCCATTTTGAGTTAGTTTGAAACTGACCTACATCTGACATTTAACACCACCACAGCACATTGGCAACCAATACGAAGTTAGAGTGTTTTTGGGGGGTTTTTGTAAATGTTTTTTGGCTCTAGCAACGGCATTAGGTCATATGAGCGCACGGGACACATTAAAAATTCTCAGTTGGTAGAAAAGTTTTAATTTTGCCAGGGTGGCGGTCAAAGCCAACTCTTATCGATTTTGGACCACCAAAGGATCTTTAACCTGCGCAACTTGCACACAGGAAGTTAAAGTGTGACAGAACAGAACGAAATTGGAAGAACAGGAAAACGGGCCAACTTCAACCTGATGGTAAAAGCACCACTGCCTTGAAACCCTTCCATCTTCACCTCTCGCTGTAAAACAAAGCAGATCGGTGTATTCAGAGAAAGAAATGATAGCTACACTGCTGAAAGAATACATAATATTTCAGAGAATTTCTATGATCAAAGACAAGCTTAACCTTTCACAGCATGTAACTAGATGAAATAACTACAACTCTTTTCCACCTATTCTACCTACACATCGTGACCTCAGAGCTTTCTTGTCCTATCTCCATTTTTAATAACAGAGAAAACAGTTTATAACAAAGAGTGAGCTTAAGAGTGAGCTTAACATTTTCAATGTTTAAAAAAATGGAGATAGGACAAGAAAGCACGGAGGTCATGACATGTATTGCAAAATATTCAAAAATTCGCTTTACACATGTCTACACGTGTACACACAAAGTAACTGATGTACACTTTGAACGTGGTAAAATTTCAAGTGCTTCATCCAATCATTTTAGACACAAAGAATAAAGTAGACCCAAACGAGCAGGAAACCGGAGTCTGAGGTGTAACAGCTGGGTACTTCACTGTTGCATGCAGGACACCAATGTTCTTGTTTTAGTAGTGTTTTACGGCACTTGCAACACAAAAAGGTCACATAAGTGCCAAAGATTAGAGGTGTTACAGGAGAGTAACAAACACAAAAAAAGAAGGAGGGGAGATAAAGACAATAGATGCTTGATAGGAAAGAAGAAGCAAACCACACCAGAGCACCCGCCAACAACCCACACCCAAGTTCAACTCTCGAGTGGGGAGGAATTTTTATAGAATATCTCGGTCTTTCTGCTGGGAGGGATGTTGTATCCCTCTCTCTCCTGGTTGGCTCTGTTAAGCAGGGTTGGAAGCTCGCCCCCTAAATGATCTAAATTGTGTTAATGGGGCTGTAAAAACACCTACATTATTTTTATAAAAAAACAACAACAAATAAACATGGGACAAGGGGCAGGGGATTAATTTGTAAAAAAAAAAAAATTTAGCACATGTGACACAATTGAATAAGGTCAGGTAAGAGTCTAAGATTAGAGGTGTTACTAGAGAGTAACATGCACAAAAAAAGGAGGAGGAGAGATAAGGATGATAGATATTTGACAGGAAAGAAAAGCAAAAACCACAGCAGAAACCCCACCAAGGCAGAAAGTTTTTTTAGGGGGGGAGGTTGGTAAATGTTTTACAGCGCTCGCAACTGCATACAGTCATATGAGCACGCAGGAGGCAGCAGGAGTGAAAACCCACAAAGTTACAAAAATGAGTGTGAAAAACAAAGTACCCTCTCGTTGGCGCTGTTGTTGGTGTCGACGTGGTTGTGGTTGGAGTGACGGTGCCTCAGACCACTGGTGGTGGAAGAGGCTTGAGCGTTAAGGTTCACTTCGGAGGACGTCTCCGAGTCTTCTGACGATGTGTTTGTAGGACTCGAACTGTGCGCATCCTGGAATGTGACCTGAGGTAAAAAGAAGGTAAAACTTTCCAGCCAACTCCACTTTTTTTTTTCATGAAAGGTGACATAAATAAAATAAATTGTGAGGCAGCGGAGTGAAATCAGGCGCTCGTCAAAATAACGAAATCGGAGAAAAGGGCATTTTTTCGCAACTTAGGAAATTTTTATTGAATTTTTATTTTTTGGCTCAACCCTTTTTATGTCCATATATAAAAACTTCCATGTGAATTTTACTGAAATTACTGAGGGCACAAAATATGTAATTTTTTTCGATTTTCAAGGACTCTTTAGCTATTGGAATTGCCAAACTTTTGCGATCATTTTCTTGCTAATTTCACCACTGAAACCAGGCAACCTCACCTCCTTCAATCGCAAATATTTTGAGTTCTGTTCAAGATAGATGGATATTTCTTTCAATGGTAGCAAGGCAAAGAAAATAGCTTTCAGATGATACCTATAATTTCACATTCGCAAAAAATGACGAGCGTCTGATTTCACTGCGTCGTGACACAATCAAATAAATTCCACCTTATTCATCCCACGGGGTTATACAATAAAGTTCACACATAGCTAAAGAGACAAATTAACACATTACATCAATGTTACTTAATCCACAATATAACACTACTGCAGAAAAAAAAAAAGCTATTGTTGGTTGCAAATGGGCAGCACCGTTTTTCAGCTACGGTTTATCGTGTCACGCACAAGGACGCAATCAAATGACAACCCACATAAACGCTGTTGTCAACGACAGACGTCTGACACTATTATGAGCCTGTGCTCTGCTGTCTTACGACAAAAAAAATGTATACGGCATAATTAGGTCGAGTAGCTTCTTTATACAGGGGAGAAACCCCTTATCATGGCACACCCTTCTATCTTGGTTTTTATGGCTGTACAATTAAAAATAAAGAAGTTTAAGGCTTTTGAAAATATGCTTCGTGACCTGATTAGATATCAATATTGTATTGACAAAAGAAATTTGAATCTATAACTATTGACTGTATACCTCAGCAAATCAGACAAAAGTGACACTGGCCAATAAATATTGACATAGAATAATAAGATCGATATAATTTTTATTAAAGTTGAAACACACACAAAAAGTAAGTATTTTGCCTCCTCTATAAAATTTCATTTTTGACATACAGTATAACGCGGACAGGTCGAACATAGAAGACTTGAAATCACATATCCGTCGAACTGCACCTGCGGTCCCGTATTTTTTTCATCTTCTTTATCTTTGTAAGATATTCCTCAAACTATGGATCCCTTGAACTACAGAGGACGGTCCCAACAAATTTGAGCTATCCATGGTATACTGTACACGTTTTTCTGTCACAAGATAGCAGAGCTCACTCTCCGACCACCAGAGCCCTCACATCAGGCCTACACAACATTCGCCCAGACTCACTTTTTTCTGTGTCTTTTTCTCTTCGTCCTCCGGGTAGAGCGGATCGTCTCCCATCCCGGGTGTGTACTCGTAGACAAAAGTGTCCTGGTAAGAGAGAGAGAGAGAGAAGAGAGAGACAAGTGTTATTACAGCTTCTTACCCTAAAACACTGGGCGGAGACCTGATATTAGCATAATATTATACAGATGTGAAATAAAGAAAAGAAAATAGTACCTGTAGATGGGTTTTTTTTGGTGTGTTTTACGGTGCTCGCAACTGCATAAGGTTATATGAGTATGCAGAACACTCCCCTCCCCCCCTTACATTCCTGAATGTAATATGACGCCACTATCACTAAACCTGCAAAGTCAAAGTTCCCAGATTCCCTCAGTGGGTCGCTGGCAGGTGCTCGGGTTTGAGTAGTTTGCTCCTTCTTTCAACCAAACTAAGAAGACTTTGAAATCACCAACAAATCAACATAACATATCAACCACAGATGCCACATACTTGGCACAGGGCATAAACCTGCACCTCCCATCAACATCCTAGGTATACCAGAGGCAGAAAAAAGTTTTAGTAAGAGTATTATGGCACTTGCAACCCAATAAGGTGATATAAGTGCCGAAGATTAAAGGTGTTACAAGAGAGTAACAAACACAAAAAATAAGGAGGGGAGATAAAGTCAACAGATGTTTTCATAGGAAGGAAGAAGCACACCACACCACACAAGAGCACCCGCCAACCACCCACAAAAGTTTTTTTAAAACAAAAAAGTAAGTAACAAACCAACACACAGGACAACGAGACTGACTGAGAAAACACTCACCGTCCCTCCCATGCGCTCCGGTAACTGGTCGGCGGGTATGTACGTCTGAACGTCTGCCTTCGTCACAAATTTTATTTTCGCGGCGGCCTCAGCGCTCAGCCATGCTTTGATCACTTTCCACGCAGCTGAGGGGGCGGGGAGGGGGGGGGGGGGGGAGGAAAAAACCTTTGTTGTCGGGACTGCAAACTCTCTGATATTTCATGAATATCGCTAAAGAAATAACTCAAGTTTATTATGACAAAACAAAAAAAACCCTGACATATATTGCATATTATTACAAATAACTACAACCTAATTACAACCCTATCCCCCCTCCCTCCCTAAAATTGACATACTTTGCATATCCTTTAGAAAATGAGCTAGTTATAACAACAAAAAAGAAACTGAGAAACTCTGCATATCATAGAAAACAAGTTAGTTATAACCAAATAAACTAACATAGTTTGCATATCATTAAAATAAAACCTAGTTTTGACCAAAGAAAAAACACACAAACTGACATATTTTACATATAATTTTTAAAAATCTAGTCACATATAAAAAAAACGCTTGACATTCTTTGCATATCATGAAAAAAAAACCCAACCTATTATAGCAACAAAAAAATCATCCAACAGACAAACTTTGCATATCGTTAAAAAAAGGCATCTAATTTAACACTCTTAAACCATTGCAAATTGCAATAGTTGTTCAAATTCAAAAGAAAAGAAAATTAAATGGCAAAAAGAAAACTGTACTTATTGTGTCAAAAAGGGTGAAAAACATAACAATTATCTACAATATCATACAGAACCCCCCCCCCCCCCAACAAGAGCTCTAATGACAACACCAGCACAGCAAAAGCTGACTCGAAGGTGACAAAGTCGCTACTACGTACCATTGAAGATCCACGGCATGTCATAGATAAGCATGTATGCTGTGGAAATAAAAAATGCAAATGTTTATTTTCAGCCAATATCTGTACTTACAGATTGGGAGAAGTATCTCAATTGAACATCTCACAGAAAAAAAAGTATCCAAAAACAGAGCCCCATTCATTAAGTAGGCATATTTCACATTAACCGGGTACCCACCCGTTCGATGAACGGACTCGAAAGAATCGATCATCAAGTCGTTGAGGAACCAGGGCGCATTACTTGTGAATGGAAGCCTCACTTGTTTACAATGGCGTCTTAGACGACAGACTTTCCCAAGATTAAATCTAACGAAACTAATGAAAAACTCAAAATGAAACAAGTGACTTCAGACTCCTTAATTTAACTGAGCACCCTTTAAATGATTCTGAACCACCGTAATTTTTTTCAAATTCGAAAGTTAAGTGATTCAGAAGTTTTAGACAACCAAAGTGACGAACTTTCACAAATATAATATTATATAGATACCAGTTTGTGAAAAGTTGTCATTCAAATTATTGGACAAAATTGAAATCTTTACAAACTCTTAACAACAAAACTTGTTTTGTTCTTTCTGAACATTTCACACTTTCTGACAATTTTCCAGGCTTATCTTGCTTTTAAAAAAATCCAGTAAGAGCTTTCGTTCAAGCTCACCACTTACCTAAGAATGTGGGATAGTAGAATTTGAAGCAAGTGATGATGTATTTCACAAAGTCCATGTCCTGTTGATTGTAAAATAATACAGACTTGCTATACTTAAGCATACTTGAAATTTGAAATACATAAAACACGGGGGGAAAACCTATACTGCAAGTCATTTATTTTACTGATCCTGTGTACGTCTTCAGAGCGGTTTTAATATAGGGCTCAAAGACAAAAACTTTTCTATTACAGGATCAAGATTTTTTAAAAGAATACTTTTGTTTGATTGCTGGCCCACCATGCAAAGTTTCGTGGGCATAGATAAACTAATAAATGAACTAGAATTCTTTTAACGCGGCCAGACGAAAGTGAACAAGCTATAAACTATTTTTGTCGTACCACAATCAGTGGAAAGGCTCTCAGCGACATTTTAGAGAGAGCAACAGAGCATCAATGGACATGTCTGGAAAGCAGGAATGCTGCTTCCTGAAACAATGAACAAAGTCGTACCAGATTAGCGATTCCACACGACGTCATGTCCAGGCAGACGACTACTTGCTGCAGGGGCGACTCGAGGAAGGCTTTCTCCAGGGCAGACACAAAGCCCAGCTTCTCCATGGCCAGCCTGTCCGGCGACGCGTCCTTTCTGTGCATCTTCACCCTCAGCCACACTGAGACAAAACAAACACAATTTGTTGGGTTTTTTTAGTAAGAGTTTTACGGCACTTGCAACACAATAAGGTCATCTATGATAGATGAGTATTTTTTCAGATTTCAGATGGTACCAATAACACCATATGACCACAAATGCCCAAAAACTGACGAGCGCCTGATTCCATCACGTCTTGACACATGTAGTCGAGTGCACACTGGCACCTCAAATTAAGTCACATGATGCACTCTCTTGTGAATCAGAATAACGTCACAGTGCATGGCCTAGAATATTACGATACATATTATTATCTATAAAAGAATGAAAGAGTAATGGGAATAAAAGTCAGGAGCAGCCAAAGCATCCTCTTAACTAGAAAAACAAAATAATTATATATATTGGTGAAGACACACGAAAAACAACACCAAATCTACAAATTACATGATCTGGAAAGATTTATCACCATACATAAGAACAAAAGGAGGAATTGCCTTACAAAAAGCAGACAAGAAATCAGAGGAGAAGTAAAAGGAGGGTGCAAGTGTGGCCGTCTGGGTCATGGACTGAGGGAGCCGAAAAGTGAACAGTTTTTGATTTTACCAGAAAGGAGAGAAGGAGTAGATAAAAAAACCAAGAACAGCGCTGTTAAAAAAAGCGATGAATGGGTAACAGACTTAATTAAGTACACTGAATATAATTTCCTCTCACTCACATATTCGATGACCATTGCCATCTCTGGCGTGGAAATAAATTCCTCCAAGCTCCAATAGTTCTCTATCAAAGGTAGCTTCTGTCACATCTGTAACAAGAAAAAACAGAAAATCAATTGCCTTGATTTTTTTCTTAGTTTTAGTAAGAGTTTTACCGCACTTGCAACACAATAAGTTCATAAAAGTGCAGAAGACTAGAGGTGTTACAAGGGAGTAACAAACACAAAAACGAAAAAGGAAAGACAAGGACGATAGGTGCTTGATAGGAAAGAAGGAGCAAACTACACCAGAGCACCCATCAACCACCCACAAATCAATTTCACAGGAGCTTCTCATTATTTCGCTCTCACAGAACAGATTTCGAAATTATGTCATGAAAAGTAAAACTATACACTTAAGCAAACAAAGGCAAGGTACTACACCTTATTTTGAAATTGAGAAATAAAACTACTTCTCAATTTTTTTGGGAAAAGGGAGGTGGAGGCGCTCTCAGAATTTCACCTCAAGACAAGACCAAAAAATTAAAAAGGAAAATATTAAAAAAACACTACCAATAAAAGGAAAATAAACAGCAAAATCCAAAGTAAAAAAAAAAAAAACAACCCAAAAAAACATAACTGCCAGTCATGTAATGAACGAGGTCTGCCAACTGACACCAAGAAAAGGGGAATTTTTTTCTAGGCCAGAGAGACTTTATCAAATTAATCCAAAAGTTGAGCCAGCAATACTACATATCATGGGAGCTTAAATAACTTTGGATTTAGCAATCATGGTATCTGAACCAAAAATATATATATTTTAACCTTGCTTAAAAGCATTTATTACAAAAAGTGTCTTTTACAAAACTATAGACTTACAACTTTATTTACACATCGACAGCATAGAAACCAACAAATAGAGCCAAAGCCTGAATTTTCTTAAAAACAGTTTCTAAAATACATTTACGTACCTGAGACAAGGAATCAGACAGTAAGTCTTTTTTTATTTATAGTTTTAGTACGGTTTTACTGCACAAACATCTGCATATGGTCATATGAGCGCCAAGGAGTGGATGTCAACAGAGAAGTTCAAACGGGGAATCAGGCTTACACTGCTCACCTCTCTAGCCTCAAAAGCACAAAGTCTGCTTCGACTATCAAGGCATCCCGAAAATAACTTCACAAGAGAGTGAAAAAACATGCAAAAGAAGTAGAGGGAAAATGACGATAGTAAGGATGAGGAAAGAAAAAGCAGCAGTTCCCTCTGTTGTTCCGGCACAGTATGAGCATGACCTTGATAAATCAGCCCATTTACAATTGGCTGCTTTTACGGACAAGCGGGCTAACCCAGATTTCTGTGGTTTCCAGAAATCAGGGGTTTCCAGAAATCTTGACCTACACCAAAAATGGGCATTACCTATAAGAGAATTTGGTTTCATTGCTGTGTATATTTGGTTGGTTGTAGAGAAAACTCTCCTCGTCTTTTAAAGAAACTGATCAGGGGTCCAGAAACTTTACCTTTGATTTTCTAAAACAGCGTTTTTCAGGATAGCCCCCTTTTGTGCTCAAAAGCGACCAATTCTACTGTGCATAAGAACATGTTAATCCCCCTTTGGGAATGACTTAAAGACAACTTCAGTCAGTAGCACTGCCCTGGTGGGGAACTCAGTGTGGGTGGGGGGGAAACACACTGAGTCTGAGAAACTGTTTCAAATTCATTACCCCCAATCTTTATCTCTTTCCGGAACTTGAACGAGGAATGCACCAGGTCGACACCCTCATCCAGCCTGTCCTTCCCCCGGATGTAGGTGCGCACAAACGTCGAGTCCTCTCGCAGTTTGCTGATGTCACGTTCATCGTATAAACCATTGGCAATATTCTCTGCAAAAGAAACCCAGAGAGAATTCTACTGTAAATCATTTGCATATCTCGAGGGGGCAGAAAAAATCCCCCAAAAACAGGGATAATAAAAGCGAAGCGTGCTGACAATAATGAGTTACTTCTAGGATTCAAGCCTTAAGGATATAGATACATCATGCTTATTGGTGAAGTTTTTACAATTTAGAAGTATGAAATAATAAAAGGCATGTTACACTTAAAGAATATGGCATTATTAGAAAATCTACAGATTTGATCATAGTGTCGATTTGTGGCCAATATCTCCATTCGTGGAGAGTGACAAGTAACTCATTTTGTCAGCACACCTCACAAATAAGAACAGGGTTAATGAAACAAGTAGCCAGGGAAGTCAACATGGTTACGGCCATATCATCGGCGCCATTCCACAACTGACAAATAAAATGGCATTTAGGGTAAAAAAAATTATTTCTTCAACACCCAGCTTTCATACAATTATTATTTTTTCGTGTGTGTTCAACTGAGGTAGAAGATGCAGATATCTCTACAGTGACAACCCATTGCTCCAGCGAAAACAAAAAAAGACAACGATTTTCATCAGAGGGACTTAGAAAGGCAGAACAAACATGGAAATGAAAAGTGAAACGAAATCGACAAACTGTTAATATTTCAGTAAAAAGAAAGTATAATAAACAACAGCAATTAAGACTTCTTTAACAAAATCTTCCCTTTTTCTACGTGTCCCTCAATTACCCCCCCACCCACCCAGCCAACCCAAATCTCTCTGTCCCCCTTACATTCACCCTCCACACCCTTCTCTCTCTCTTTCTTACAAATTTATCTCTATCATCCTCATGCGTTCTGCTAGTGATGAGAGAAAAACGCACATTATTTCAGTAACTGTAACTGATAGAGGTGGGCAAAATCCGAATAAATATCCGGATAATAGGATAGTCCTCAATGAGACATTATCCGAATTCAGACTCTTTAACTCTTTTTCCTGACCCGTTAGCCGAAGTGGTTGCACCCATTTGTTGAAGTGATGCTAACCCGTTAGCCGAAGTGGGTGCACCCATTTGATGAAGTGATGCTAACCCGTTTGTCGAAGTGGTTCTAACCCATTTGCCGAAGCAGTTCATATCATATTGTTTGCCGAAGAGGTGCACTAAGATAGTATCCAGATTTTGCTAAAGCGACTCATTGCCCAGCCCTAGTATCTGAAGATACTGTCTGTGTCAACCTGAGGTGGGAAAGCCTGCATAATTTATGCATGAGCAAGTCAGAATGACATCCTGCAAACTTATTCATATAGGGACAGATGTGAATGTGTGTATGCACATTTATGACCTAGAAAATGACTGATAACATATCTAATTGACTGAAACAGCAGACAACATAAAGGGAGGACTTGCATATTTGATTGAGAATCAAGCACTGCTCGGTCCACTGATCACCAACCCAATTACCTCATTAGGAATGCTCACTGAATAATGGGGAGATGGGATGAGGATGGCTTTCCCTGAGGCAATAAAGAGGGGAGTACTAATCTAGTGTCAGTGCTCCTGTGAAAAATTTAAGCAGGTATGCACAAAAAAGAGACAGAACAGCACTGGCTATATTTGTTGAATTGCTAAAAATAAAAATCCTTCCATCTTCAATAAATACCTCTTATTTAAAAAAAATAAACATTTAAGATTTGTTATGAAACTTCCAAAATGGGAAGATGGTTCAAAGATGAGTGTATCAATGACATTTAAACCATTTACATTTTACAAGAAAAAGGCTATGCACAATATGAACCTTGGTCCTTTGAGCCCAAACAGTGACATGCCATGCACAATAAGTGACAAAGAATAAGAAGAGAAATTTTTTTGTTTGATTTACTCGACAAAGCGTCTTGTTCATTTTAACATTATTAAGAAAAGTAAAATTCTTATACCTTGAATATAAACTTTTTACATAAACCCTTATTGCCAAACATTTAGATTCGAAAGATTGAGGTCTGATATTAAGGGTGTAGATGAGGGAAAGAGTTCCACTAAAAAGTCTCCATCACTCCCAAAAATAATAACAGATGACAGGTCAATAATCTCCCACTTAGCACAGAACATCTTGGACTGAAGCCAGGGCAAATAATGCTATTGACACAGAGTTCAAAATGACCTAAGAGGGAATGTCCAAACGATCCCGTTATTATTACAAAGCAGGCCAGACCATTGGGTAGTAAAGGCAAAAAAAACAACCAAAGGAACCCCACAGGTAATTTTCTGTGTTTTATAATGGTGAAATAAGGCTCTCATCAAAATAATTTTAAATAAGGGAACAGACAAAAAGAGTCATTTTTTTGTCTGTTCGGCGATTTTTATATTATTATCAATTTCTTTTTTCTTTTTTTGGCTCAACACCAGTCAATTTTTAAGTCAATCTAAAAAATCATTTCTGGGAGGATTTTACTGTAAAAACGTTGATCAAAGGCAGAAACAATGCAAATTTGTAGTTTCATATGACATTCTATTACTTATACAGGGTATATAATAATAATATGCCCTCTATATGCGATATGTCAATGATATTTTCCCCAATGATTTGGCAAAAGTTATTCAGGGTTCCCACTCATCAAGGAGAAACAATTTCCCACTTTTTCCCCCCTCGACTCCTGGTTTTTGTAAAGGGTAATTTTTTTTAAAGATGACAGAGCTAGGAAAAAGATATAACATATAAAGAGAAAAGCACGATAAAAATCATAACATGGCTGAGAATAGATGTACAGTCGCCTTTCCTGGAGTGTCAAGGACAGGGATTGTAGGGTAACTGTAAAATAAACAAAGGTGGGACGAAAGGTCTCCACAGCTGGGCTTCTGGTTGTCAAATTAGGGGAAAAAAGAGGGGGGAGGGGGAGTAACTTATTGGCTGTTGGCTTGACATTTGCAAAAACAAATCAAAACAAAACAAGGGTGACACATCACAAGCCCTTGATTCTGATTGTGAATCACAACACATCATTGAAACTGGTTTAAACTAGATTCTGTTTTTGTTTTTTGGTGTGTTTTTTTTTTTTTTAATTCTCTCACTGGCCTAAGCCATCATCTACAGCACAAAGGCAAAAGCACAGGAATTTTTTCACACCTTGTCAAACTAAGGTGGACCTTACTCCCAGCTAATGTTTTTCTAAGGTACAGAGTCACAGTACAGAGTGACTACAAGGGCTCTGTGCACAGAGGGTGTTAATAAAGTTAGACAGCTGCATGTGAGGTAGTCATGTAGACTGTCATAATCTGACTTTTTTCATAACTTTTAAAGACCCTATACCCCAGGAAGGTGAGGACGGGTTGGGGTAGCTAAAAAGCAAATAATTCAATGGTATTTTCCCGACCAGGATATCTGAAGATAAACTTTGTAGCTTTTCCCCGATTTCCCACTTGAGAGGGAACCCTGCTTTTTACAAAAAGTAGAAACTTCAATCTTTTCTGTGATTCTCCTGTCTAGTTCTTTCGTAAAGTAGGCTTAAAATTGAGAATCATCAAGGAGGTTATTTTCATAACATTCCTAAAAATCTAAAATGGGAGAGAGAGATCAAGAAGACGCTAGCCAAGTATTTATGATCAGTGAGTGAGAAAGAGAAAGAGAGAGAGAGAGAG